GTGCCACTGCATTGCAGCCTGGTCAACAAGAGTGAAACTCTGTCTCAAAAAAAACAAAACAAAAACAAACAAAAACTCCCCAATGTCTGGCTTAATAGACACCTGGATTTTCTTTTTTGTTGTTGTTTTAATTTTATGTATTTTAATTTTATGTGTTTAATTTAATTCATTTATTTATTGAGACAGAGTCTCACCCAGGCCGCAGTGCAGTGGCATAATCTCGGCTCACTGCAACCTCTGCCTCCCAGTTCAAGCAATCCTCCTGCTTCAGCCTCCCAAGTAGCTGGGATTACAGGAATGCACCACCATGCCTAGCTAATTTTTTTTCTTTTTTTTTTCTTTTTTTTTTTTAGTAGAGATGGGGTTTCACCATGTTGGCCAGTCTGGTCTCAAACTCCTGACCTCAAGTAATCTGTCTGCCTCACCTCCTAAAGTGTTGGGATTACAGGTATGAGCCACCATGCCCAGCCAACAGCTGGATTTTCATACCTCCTTCTTCTTTCAAGCTGTAGTGATAATACACATCATGTAGACTCTGGAAAACTCCACTGAACACCCATTTGTATATGTGCTGCTGAAGCGAGCACCTGAACACCCATCAGAAAAAAAAAAAGTCTTTTTTATTCCTATTAAATAGTTTTGGCTTTGCAGACACCCAGAAAGAGTCTTAAGAACTCAGGCGTCTGTGGATCTCACTTTGAGAACCACTGTCTGGGCACTCATTTACCAATGGGATGGGATAATCAAGAACCCCCAGACATTTGAAGGAAACCAACAGCCTGCAGAAGAAGTAGACAGAACCCTGGAGAAAACAGGATAATAATGCAGGAATCAGGAGAAGACATTAAAATCAGCATAATTCATATCCTGTGAAGGGTCAATAAAATATAAGAACCAGTCAGATGGCAAGTGGGCACAGAGCAAATACACAAAAACCAATACTTTCCATAGATACCAATAAATAATCAATTGGAGAGGACGTTTGCAAAACCAGCAACTATCACAAATAATCTAGGCATAGGCATAACCAAAGTTCTGGAGAACCTACATGAAGACACATTTTTAATCGTATTAAAGGACATACATTGAGAGGTGTGTTATGTTTCCTGTGGGAAGCTTCAATATTATAAAGGTGGCAATTATTTGAGTTGCTCAGTAAACTGTCCTCTGCATTATACTAGGTTGAGCGGGATTTCTGTCACGAGTACGCACCAAGAGTCATAACTAATATATCTTCTAGGTCAGCAGTCCCCAGCCTTTTTGGCACCAGGGACCGGTTTCATGGAAGACAATTTTTCCACAGGCCCGGACTGAGGTGGGGATGGTTTCAGGATGAACCTGTTCCACCTCAGATCATCAGGCATTAGAGTCTCATAAGGAGGGTGCAACCTAGATCCCTCACACGCACAGTTCACAGTAGGGTTTGTGCTCCTATGAGAATCTAATTCCACTGCTGATCTGACAGGAGGCGGCGCTCAAGCGGTCATGCTCCCGCACCTGCCACTCATCTGCTATGTAACCTGGTTCTTAACAAACCACAGACAGAGAACAGTCTGTGGCCCTGGGTTTGGGGACCACTGCTCTAGGTTGAAAGCCACTCCAAATAAAATAAAGAGACAAGTGACTGACTGCAAGAAGATGTTTGCAACACATATAATAGTCAAAAGGTTAATATACTTAATATATAACATTCCTGGAGTCATATGAAGACAAAGAACCTTAAAATGCAGGCAGATAATAGAAGCTAAACAAGAAGTAGCTACATGCATGAAAACGAATCCACCTCTGAATTAGTTAGGGTAAGGCTCACCTGTTCTAAGAGACCCGATGATACAGAGGGTAGATGAAAAAACAGATCTGTTTCGGTATTAGGTTCTCCAGAGAACAGAACCAATAGGAGAAACATACACACACACACACACACACA